TGAGTCTCAGCAGAGGAATCTTTTTTCTCAAAGAAAAATCATTGTTTTCTCCTTTTATTTGGTGTTGGGGATGTGATGGCGTTTCTGGGAAGGCAGGAACGGCGTGGTCTTCTTGGGAAGGGAGGATAGGCATGGATGGATTGATGGGGAAAGGGTTCTTTACTTTCTGTCTGTCTGTTCGTCTTGTCTGCTCGTCTATGTGATGTTTGTATAGTGCTTCGCTGAATTAGAAGACTCATTTACAACATACTCTTTACTATATTAATACATGCGTGAACCTTGAAGTATTACTGAAATTGTGATTATTTGTTATCTTGATGCTTTGGTTGGATAACCAGGGGCGGAAGGGTATCGATTACACTATCCTTCCTACTGTACGGAAGGAAGTTGGCTTGACCCCTTCACATGAAGCTTTCTACTTGTTATCTCCGCCCCTTTCTGTCAGGCTCACTCTGAAAAGTTATGTCTCATCTGAACTCAACTCGATATCATTGACGAACTAAAAGACCTTCTAGACATCTCTGTTATGTATGTAAAATCACAACTTCGATACGGACATTGGAAATGTATCTATCCAGTTTTCTTGATGCGTGATGGAAAGTTGAGGATTGGTTCTTAAGGGATCAAGGCTAGATTGCCCAGCACATTTTGAACATCCACCCTTCCTTCATTGTTCCATCCAGTGTTGAACGTTAAGATTCCGTTTTGCCGTTCAGCCTGAGACATCAAGTTTCGATCTTCAACTCAATCTTCAACGTTGAACCCCTATTGTTCCACTCAACTTCGGGCGATCATTTTTGAAATACCGCTCTGAACATTCACATTTTGGCATCCGAATGAACCCAAGTCTATGCTACCTTTTGCGAACAAGCTAGCATGATTCAGGATGTCTTTCATGCAGAACAGTACGGAGATTTGAAGATTCGCGATGTTACTATCATAACCTCACCGCCACACGGGTGACGACTCACCGACGCCTATTCCTCTGCTTCTAGCGCCATCTTAGCTCCCGCGTCTGTAGGGAAAAGATCTCAGATATGTTCCAGTATTATTATTTTGACATTAAACCTCTTTCTCAAACCCCTCCCAGCCATTCCATGATTGCCCACCTCACTTCATGTATAGTCTAAGCCTTCAATCTTTGTCCAGCTATATCGTCTTGAGCATCCTTGATCAAGAAACTAAACCTAAATTAGCATTTCTCACTGACCGCACCAAATCACGATATGAAGAAACCATGGGAAACATACCTATAGAAAATCATAGTTGGAGCCACCGTCCCCAAATGCCACAAACTATGTGCATCCAAACATCCCAACCAAGGTGGGAAATCCACCAACTCCAAACTCATTGCCATAAAAATCCACGCAACTACTAACCCTGGCCATGTTGCCCATACTCTCTTACTCTTCCTGTATTTTTCAAATGAAAACCAACTCCATAAAGAATTTTGTATTACTCCAACCACAACATTTGCAGCCATGTTATAAGTATAATCCCAATCCCACCACTTCAAATAAACAACATGTGCGATATAGCAGAGTATGCATAGAAGAGTCCAGGCACGTAATATAGACTTTGTGCGTTTTCCACCACGATCCATACGGAAGATTCGAATTGGAGTATAGTACATACCGTACAAAACACTTCCTCCTGCCGCAAAATAATCCATTTGTTCCGTGAAAGCGAAGTCTCTTGTATGAAACACCATACTGGCCACCCAACTCATCATTCCCGCATATGATAGCATGACATAGTATTTCCGCATACTATAATCCTCTGGGATTTGAGTAGTTACTCTTGCGAGTCCGTTGTGATGCGCCATGAAGTTGAAGAGTGAAAAGAGGACGGAGAAAGGCTCTTGCATACCGAGGAAACGGTAGAAGGGCCATTTTCCATGAAATTGAACAATAGGTTGTGAGGACTCAACGCGCGAGTCGGTAATTATATGTTGGCAGGTATAATCGCATTCGGCTGGGCAAGTCCAGAGGAGAAGTCGATGGTGGAGTGCTGTGTCATTTTGTTATTTTTTTATGTACGAAGGAAAAGAGCAGGAATTATAGGAATGAATAAGTGACATACGGATCTTCGTAACGCCCCCAACTTGATTGTCGCAATTCTCTCGTTGACAGACCTAAATATTTATTAGTATCAAGCACAGAGTAAACAAACCCCAACGAAAGCTCCAAGAAAATTCATACCTCAACACATTGTTTAAATTCAGGCAATCGATCACCAGTACTCGCATTTGCAACACTGAAAAGTCCAAGTACTGCGATGCAGAGTAAAATGGTCAATCTATGCCTAATTATCATTATGATATCGTCAACGTGGTTATTGTTGAGATGAAATTGGAATCTGACATATCGATATAATATTGAATGATGCCAGTGCCGGTTAAACTTCGGTACGGGATGTGCGGAATCTGGCTCACTGGGGGCTCTGTGGGTCGCTCATCCTCACGTGCTGATTATATACCTAGAAAAGCGTAATTCGTATTAATTGTGATAGGGGCCGTAACTCAGTGGTAGAGTGCCTCGTTTGCATTACCATGTTCCCTACGGGGAACTAGGTAAATTGAAAATCGATGAAGTCCAGAGTTCGATCCTCTGCCGCTCCAGAACTAATTTGGTTGATTTTTTGGTACATTTAGAAGTGTTATTAAAGAGTTGCACACAATTTTGGTAGCGAGTAATTGAGTTTTGTGGGGTAAGCGAGGGAGGTTGATTCTATATTGGTGCATTTGACCTTGCCACAAAAATAATTCCTTACAGTTCAATGTACATACATTAAACGCAAGTGGGCTTTAGTAGGGATAGTTTTAGTTGACTTCTGAGCATCTCCAAGCTTGAGAAAATAATGGCCAGTAATGCGTACTCAGTTTTGCCCCTCTTTTTCCACTTTAGGGTCCACGCAGTCTACTCAGAATCGACGTACACCACAACCTTTAACTCTTACTCTCGCTTTGTTACGTTCCAAACCAAAGCATGGTTCAATCACTTAGGCATCACTCTTCAAAATATCATTCCTATTGCCCAGCACCTCATCCGCGTAAAAGCAAGTGTCGTTAATCTCAAAATACCCACCTTCTTGTATGTTAATTGCGACTTCGTCAAGACCAAGGCAAAAACCTTGTGGTAGTCCTCGAGTTGTAGATGCCGACCCAGGATAGCCAGGGTCAAACATGAAGTATTCGAGTCCGGTAGCATGCAGTCAAAGGGAATTCTCATCATTTCCCTCTTCGAAAAATACAGCCGCGCCAGACAAAAATCTCTTGGACGCAATACATAAATCATTCGCTATCTCTGGTTTGTTGAGCAACTTCAGTAAGTTTTTTCAGCTATCACTTTCATGCATGAAGTTCTTCTGTGGATAACATCCAATCACCTTTCTCCAGCATGCCACAATTCTTTGGAACCGGAGATTGTCGTCATTTTCAAGAGCCCTTAAAGCCACAATAATCGATGACTGAGAGACATTTCATATAATATTATGACTTTCTTGAGACTTTGTTACACCGATACTCGTTGACAAGGCTCTGTGCTCAAGTTGAGCTAATTTCGATGATAACATTCCGTTAGATGATTCGAGATGTTTAGCTTCGTCATTCTACAACTCTTTACTGATTTGAAAGAAGGGTCGAGAAACTGTCATGAGAAAATATACGTGGCAGCATCCCTACAACTACGAGGTTAGATCTTCAGTGACGTGGATGCTCGCACAGCATTACAAACATGTTGTGATATGGCCGTACTATCTTGAATAGCCATAACATACTATGACTACAACAACGCTGTCAATAGCACTTGAGTAATCTCGAGCCTGTTCACAAGATGTTTTTCGACTTGGAGAAACTTGCTTTACATACACGCGAATCTCCTATAGCTAAATTTACTCTACTGACAACCTGTAGGTGATAAGAGAGCTCACAATTGCTTCGCATGAATTCAATCCAGGAGAAAAATTAATCTACATGTTGATATACTGGTTCTATTTATCGTAATTCTGGACAGCTGGCTACTTAGATCTGGTATTAACCTCAATCATTGCTTAAAGTTGGCTATCTAGGCTCGATATATTCTCTTGAAAGTTGGCTTCAAACCAGTCAAATTATGATGTGCATGAACAAAGAGTGGATGGATGACTTTAAGTCATTCATAGCCTACGACAAAGGAGCTAGTCCTATAGGAATGCCTATTTAAGGCTTGCTTCTTCCTGTAAATAGCTAGCTTCTTTAGACGGGATACACACCGACAATCTGAGCCTACATTTCAGGCTCTAAGTCATCCATATCCTTCTCAAATCAACATGATGAGATGACTTTAATAGGTTTTCGATATGAGCGCAAAAGAGCGGTTTCTACCGCTTATGAATAAGATGAGTGGATGATTACTCAGAGACGCTTTATAGACTTCCGAGAATTCCTCAATACTTCGAGACTTCAAAATTTGGACGAGAGATCTGACGTTCAATGATACAACCTGTCAGATTTTACACGATATCAAAATACAGACACATAGTATGATCGTTCAAAAAGTTGAGATTAGAGGTTTCTTTCGCACAACTTCTAAGCCAGTATAGAGTCAGTCTTATCTACTTCAGGTTGGTAAATGGGGGCTAGTTTATATGTACTTAGCTTCTATCTGGTCTGAGTATTGACTTGGATTTTGACGATATAGAACAGAATACCCAGGAATGAGTTTGAAAGACTAGCTTCTAGAAACATGATGTTTCTAGAGTTAAGTGAATATCCCAAATATCAAACGTCTTGAGAAAGAAGCCAATGGTAGTAGAGCCGAGTCAAGCCAAGACGGTGCAATCTCCCCTTATACACTATGCGAAAACTTTTGTCGACAAGCAAAAGGGGCGTAAAATTCTCAAGTTGTAATAGTTCATAATTCATTTCATTTCAATTATGAATCTGGTACATTTATCCTAAAACTTTCCTTTTAGGCCACCAAGCAATTCATTATCCAAATCTCATCATTCAGCCCCCCAATTCAGTAAACAAACATCTCTCCCACAAGCTTCTCACTGAGCTTCCATAATCCCTTGGCTGTCTCCTTATTGAGAGCATAATCCTTGGTCTCCGTGTGAATTGCGTTTTCAACGATGAATGCTGGTGCAGCCTCTGTAATATTCTAGGTTGGTTAATGCACACGTTAGACTGGGATTCTCATACCTGTAAGAGATGGATTCAATGCCGTGAAAAGCACTACTCCCGCTGTTGTTCCAAAGTCACCATATTTTGGGGGGGGGGGGGGGAAGAGGGTTTCCTGATATACAATTAGCTTTGCTGTCACATACATAAATTAGCAGGTGCGAGAGAACATACCATCATTGCATTTAATCGCCAAAACATACGCATCTACAAACGATTCATTATCTACACTTGAATTGACCAATAACTTGCTCTCCAGGGCCACTTAAACCACTTGTTAGTAAAGCACAAACGCAATGTAGGAATTGACGTACCACCAGGATGGCATATTAATGCCGTGACTCCTTTCTGCTCCAATCGTTTGTCAAGAGCGAGATTGAACAGTATCATAGCAGTTTTCGCTTATCCGTAAGCAACCCAGGGATTATATGTTTCTCCATCCTAGCAAAATGAAGTCAGTTTGCACATCAAGTACACATATTTGCAAGCATGAAGCAGCAGTGATCAACAAACCTTAAAATTAATGTCCTCAATATTAGTTTCTCCGAGCTAATATCCCAAACTACCAACCTCCACTATTCTTGCGCTTCACTAGCGGCAGCTACTATTTCCTTAACTAGCAGATTGGTAAGAAGAAAATGACCAAGATGATTAGCCGCGAATTAGCTCTCAACTCCATCGACACATGTAGCATAGTGTTTTACAGCCATGACACCAGAATTATTAATAAGAACATGAATCTTATCCGTCAAGGTCTTCGTCTTCTCTGCTTGCCGAACGCTCTTGTTAATGATAAGGTCGATTTCAACGAAAGCGACTTCAATATCTGGGTTGATCTTTCTGATAGCTTCAATCACTGAAATAACTTTACTTTCAGTTCGACCAACAAGAATGATTCTCTGGAGGCTTGCAAATGCGAGAGTGATTGCAGATTCGGCGCCGATGCCGTTTTCACTTGGGCCGGTCATGACAACTATTTATGTTCATTAGCTGGGTTTGCGAGGAAGTACAATGATCGTAGGATAATGACAAACATGTTTTGACCTCTGCGTACTTGGAGAAGTGCTTAAGCACATCGTCTCCGGTTGTGTTGATATCAAAAGATGCCATTTTTGTATTTGAAATGAGAAGTGAGAATGAAGCGAATAAGAAGTAAATTTCGAGTGTCTGTTGTTCTGGAGCTGCTTGAGGAGAGAAAACAATAGCTCTATCAATTTAACTATGGCAAGTAGACAACTGTTATTATTGTTGTTGTTGGCGTTGTAAGTGTTGGATTCCATGCCACATTGCGGCGCAAGCAATTACAATATACCAACTTAATTCGCTATTGACAACCCATGTAACTGTAACTAGTGAATGAAGCAAGACATACCAGAAAACACAAGTAATTGAGCCCAGAATGAAAGGGTAAATGACGGGAGTAATCGCGTCTAGCCGGTTATTGGGATAGAAATCGACCCAGATATTTGGTTCGCTGCCGAGGTCACACAGTATACACTGACAAGAGCGTAAGTACGATTTCTAGAAGGAAATTGTCAATCTCTGTTAATAAATCGTACACTTCACAACGACCTGGAATTCCCCTCAATATCTCGCTCACGTCTCACCCAGTCTCGCCAAACTACCGCACTATCCAACACAGATACTTCACCCAAAAACAACCCAAAGCACAACTCACTCACCAACTCACCATAAACACAAAGCCCACAACTTCCGATCCCTCAAGATTCACCCCATCCACTCCATCTTTCCCACCACCCCAACTCCCTTACAAGTTACAACAAATGCTCAACTATCATACACATAAACATACTCCCTCCCCAGCCCCCCATAATTCACACTCCAACAATTCCACTCGACGCTGCTCTGCCCCATCTTGCAATCTCCAAACATCTTATACACCTACCTACCTATCTTACGATCTTCCGTTCACAGAAATGTATAGTAACACTTACACTGAAGTGACTGAACCATGAATCCCATGCAATCCGATTCACACAGTTCAAAGACTTCCAAATGATCCTTCAATGTCCATTGATGCAATCTCGATCTACTACGTAGCAGATATCTGATCCCGATTCAAACATCGATGGATGGCTATAGACATTATATGAGAAATAAAGACGGCGAGGATAAACTATTCAAGTTCAAGGAAAGATGTATTGATTGTCGATTCAAGTCTAGGTAAGAAACCCAGCGATAGAAAAGACGTCACAGTTACAATGATTCCATTCCCACTGTAATAGTCCGCAATCCTCCAAATCCTCAGCGTAAAAAATTTCTTCAAATTGATATCTCTACTCAATCATACACGTATCTAACCTTAGTATACCAGTCATCCCAATTCGTTTCGATACACCCCCTCATTCAATTACCCCCAGAACCTCTCCACCCATTCCCAAATTTATTTCTTCCCCTCAATAACTTCCACCAACTCCGCCTTAATCTTTCTCTTCCCCGTACTCTCCTCCTTAACATCACTAATCCTCACCGTCACCTTTCCAAACAATTCTATTCTAACCTCTCTACTTCCCTTCGTTTGTAAAACGTAATTCTCCGCATCAAAATCACCCTCTGGTTCTGGATCCGCCAAATCTCTCAGACGAATAAGTGACTCGATACCAAATCTCGGTACGAAGACCACAAATCCATTACTGAAAACCTTCATGACAAAACCTTCTTCCTCAACAATACGACCCTTGAGTGCTTGACCAACATAATATTCTATGGAAGCACGACCAGCTTGTTGAGCATTGCGATGTCGAACGTTAATGTTCTTGCAGACACCTTCAAGTTTTCCCTTACTGCGGACACTAGCAGCAAGGGGCTCATAATCGATTGCGGCAGCCAGTTGACGATGAGCGACAAGATCTGCATAACGACGAATGGGAGATGTGAAGTGAGTATAGATCTCAGATGCAAGACCATAATGGCGGAACTCAGGGTATGCTTGTGTGCCTGAACAAAAATATTCTGCAGACATCATGCAACGAGTTGCCATAATACGAACGAGGGTATTGAAGAAAGGTTCGGCGGGGTCGACGCATCCATCAAGGGTGTCAGCAAGTTCTCTCGATGAGCCAACCTTAAGCTCAAGGCCACGCTTGACCTTCAGTTGATTGGCAAGTTCTTCAAAGTTTGTCTTGGGAGGGGCTGCGTGACGACGAAGCATGGCCGTTTGAGGGAAGGCAGAATAAATCTTTGCTGCTACACTAGTGTTGGCGAGAAGCATGAATTCTTCGACCAATGACATAGTATCAAGGTGCTTTTTCTGTTTGATATCTATTGGGTCTGAAGTCTCAGATTCCATCTCCACTTTAACTTCTGGTGACGAGAGACTCAAAGCTCCAGCATCCATACGCTTTTGCTTGAATTTCTTAGACAACATAAGAAGAGTACGAATGTTGGTAGTAAGTTCATCTTGAGCCGACGCATCATCAACACGCTTTTGAGCATCTTCGTAACTGAATGCTTCTCGTGATTTAATGACAGATTTTGTGTACTCTGAATTAACAATCTCGGCATCCGGTGTGATTTCCCACAAGCAAGAAAATGCATACCTCTCGACATATGGCTTAAGAGAACACAAATCCGTACCAAGTAACATCGGTAACATGTCAATTCGCTTATCTACTAAATAAACGGTGGTCCCTCGTATACTCGCTTCTGCATCCATTGCATTGTTTGACTTGACGAAATGTGAGACATCTGCAATATGCACACCCACTTCGTAATTGCCATTGGGCAAAGGTCTCGCATGCAATGCGTCATCAATATCCTGACAACCTATTGGATCAATACTGCAAATGTTTAAACCCCGAAGGTCGCGTCTGTTTTTCCATCCAGGATCATCCACACTTGGAGGTACAATCCAATCATGACCTTCTGCAGGTAAACAGTCTAAGACCGTTTTCGGGAATGGTCTATATTGTACGTCGTATTCCAAAAGTAAAGCCTCTGTCTCGGCACCTTTTGTTTCCAGTTCGCCGAGAGAACGAACAAAATGACCAACCGGATATCTCGAATCTCTATCCCACGAATCGATGGTGACTAAAACCCGCTTTCCTAATATCTCACCAGCTTGTCGCGTTCTAACACGAATTTTTGGTATCCTCTTGTCCATGGGAATGAGGAAAACAGTTTGTTGCTTGCGACCCTGTTTTACCGACTGACTAACAGATGATTCGTCCACATGACCGACATATTGTCTCCAATTACGCTTTACCACACCAACTACTCTAGCAGTTGGCTGAGGACGATTTTCCGTACCCTTGCTGTGGGTCTTCTTTACTTCTTCTTGCAGCGCACGTCTTTCCTTCTCGGTGACGACAGCTTCTCCCTCTTCAGCATCGGCGTTTTCATCCTTGTTCAAGGTTTCTTCCTCGATGATTTTTGTAGAAGGCTCTTTCCATTGGTCTTTTGGTAATACTTCGATAACAACAACATCACCCTGAACAGATCTATTTATATTCTCTCTGCCAAGAACAAGTAATGATTTGTCGAAAGCGGGGACATTTACAGACCCCTCCAAATAGTTGTATGGTGACACATTGAAAATACCCTGATGTAACGTGCCGTTCTTGACACCAGTCATCATTTTTGATACTGAATAGTATTCCTGGTATAGGTTTCCAGAAGTTCTAGCATCTCGGGCTTCTTTGTCTTCTTGTGCTGCGCTGATCATATCCAGTAATCGATCTGCATCCTCCAATCCACTAACATATTCCCGAAGGGAGCATGCTTGAATACCATCACGCTTTGCTTTTCTGAGATTCTCCTTATCATCACTTAGCATTACAACAGCAGGTATCTTTTTCGAACGTCCTCCCGAAGCTTTTACTGCTTGTGTAATATGTTCATCGTACCATTTGACCGCGCGTCGAACCGCTCTATCATTTCTATCATTTATGCTTTCTCCAGTCTCCCGAACCACATAAGTCTCCAGACGAAAATCATTAAAGAAAACATGAAATCGTTTATCCTCGCTCTTTGTAAGCCCTATCAACCGATTGTAAAGCGGCAGTGATCTATTTCGTAATTCCTCAAGGACAGTTTGTAAGATGATAACATCGTAGAAGGCCGATGCCTGTTCGAAAAGATCGAGGGCGTTCAATAACGCATTGGTATCAGGTACCAGGTAATGTCCCTGAGGGTATGCTGCCGTGCCAGCAGGGGTTTCCGATAGAACGAATGGTGGTACTGCATTCAAGTAAGTCTTCTATCATGCACATGTATCATATACATTATCGAGATCAAACTTACCAACACCACCCGCATCTGGTGGCGCAGTCTTGAGGCAGCTGTCGCAAAGTTTGGATGAGCAGGGAATATCTTGTCGAAGATATAATTCACGAACAATCTTCTGAACTTTGCCACTTTTGGTAGATCGTACGTAGACTTTACTTGATATATTGGAGGAGTAGGGATCCGATCCCATAGATCGTTTGAGACTCGTCATATTGGCTGAATGATAGGATTGTTTCAGAAGGGTTGTTCAACAGCTTGCGACAGCTTGTGTGCAAATTGAGGAAATTTAGACGCGATATGCGCTTGTACGCGGCTACGATAGATCTTATCGGACACTGGGTAAGAGCGATAAGAGCTTATCGTCCACCTAGTGAAGCTTGATATATCACATTTCAAATAAGCTGAACCATCTCACAATTTCGAATCCTTTGTACAGAAACAATGTCATATTGTATTCAACGGGTTTCTTTTCTTACACTCAGCGTACATCCAATGAAATGGACATAGCCAAAACGTACTTCGAAAGATCATAACCTCCAAATTTGACATCACCAGTACATTCACATCCAAGCAAATCCGTTTTGAGGGTTCAAGTGATCTAAATCTAATGCTCATACCCCTCCCTTCCAAATGTCGTGCACACATTCCATTTTCGAAGCTTAAGCTTCACCCCTAAGGACATACACAACAAGAAACACAAAGAGGTCCCTCCCGATAATGCATAATGACCGTTTCATCTGCAATCTCGTACACGTGATGTCCATCTGCATAGGATACCTACCCACCTAGGAATGTACGAATTGCCGGCCAAACGAGCAGCCAGACTATATGTGTCACTTGACTTCCGATATCCTGGAAGCAGG